AGACATTGTGAGCTCACTAGAGCTGAACTACGTCAACTGGTCTGTACCACCGGTACTCCATCATGACGGATATGATCCCATCGCCGAGGAAAAGCTTGCTGAAGCATTCACCCAAATGAGTCTTGAACATACCATTTCCCCAGGTATGAATTCTCCTTTGACAGGTCAAGAAACCTCTAGAATCCAAGAGAAGACAATGGAGTCACAAGAGACGAGCAAAACGAGCTTCACCTTCGAGAGTGATCGAGAGAGTGAAGATCAAGAACAAGACATCAAGGACTTGGAAGAGCTTCAAGAGACTGATCAAGCTACCCAAGAGAAACTCCAAGAAACCATCTACTTTAAGAAACCAACAAAAAAACAGGCACCTGACAAGACCCCTGAAGTAGATCAAGACGTAGTTCAGAGAACATCGACTGGGCCTAGATCGCATCCAGGTAAGTTCTATTCAATATTTTCGATAATTGCAGGTCCATTAAGCCCCAACAACGGCTAGGAGACGTGCTCATCACGAGGTTTCAAGTTTGCTTTAGTATTTTACTTATTTTCTTTCCAAAAACAATGGCTTTGTATTTGTAGTTTTATTTGTTTCCTTTGTTGCATTTTTACATTTATTTCGGCCTTAGGGCTAGCTGAAGGACTCTTATAAAGTCCCCCTGCAGCAGTTGTACGAGTTTTTTACCCTATTATCAATAAAGAACCCGAATTTTCTTCAATTTTTCTCCTTAAGTGTTCTTAAGAGAAAATCTTGTCATTTGTCTTGTGTGTGTGATTCCATAAGGCTGAGTTCGTGTACTGTATTATAGACTAATCACATCTCTGTGGTGTACTTCAATCCGCCAGCACTTCCCCTTTATTCGATCCCACACGAGAGAAGCGACCGCCATCGTGTCAGATCTACATCAACGACCATCTTTCCTTCACAAGAGAGAAGCGACCGCCATCTTGTGAAGCCATCATATCTATCCTAATACAAGCTCACCACCGAGTCTTGTATCACCTTGTATGAATCTTAAGTACATTTATGCAATTTAATCTTGTTCTCTTTTAGTTTTATCTTCTACTTTTCTCTAATTATGTTTCTTCAAAGATCAATTTCATTTTTTTGTGGTTACATGATCATGAGTGAGTAGTCTTATAGAGTTCTTGGGTTTTGGTAGATTAGGAGGATTTAGGAGTTGGGTTATGGAGTTTAGGGCTAGATTGATTAGGATCCGTACTTATTGGTTGCTAGTAAGGTTAAATCAACCTTGATCATGTTGATTTAGAACTTAGGAATTTCACGCCCGGAAGGTGTTCGATGAAATTCTCGAACCAAAACTTTTAAGTGCTTTTTATTCCTTACCTTTTGAAATTGTTGACTAGGGTGATTAGTAGTTAGATAGACTTTTTTATAATGCTTATTGATCATTTGATTCTCTTTGGAAAAAGTTGATAATTGATTGATTAGTAAAGAGATTAATGTCATGAAAACGAGTTAGTCTTGTTTAGTGTTCTATGCCTTAAGATCATTCTTTGTTAGAAGTTGTTTGAACCTCCATAACCCTTCTGTTTGTCATTCTAGTCAATTGCCTTAACCCAAGAATTCGTCTTCGAATTACTGCATAGTAATTTGCTTTGTTTGATTTCAAAATTTGTTAGTCTTTTGGTATTTACTTTCTTTTGTCTTGCTTTGCATTTAGTTTGAATTTATTGTTAGTCAATTTTAAAAACCAAATCAAATATCTTATTAAGCTTAGATTAAGCAAATTTGTGTATTCTTGGTGTGTTAGTTAATTGCTCCTTGAGGTTCGATAATTTAATTGGGTAAAATGACTACATTAATTTGGCGCCGTTGCCGGGGAGCAATATCAATTAGCCATTAGGATTCTATTTTTGCTTGAGACTAAGCCACTTACTCAAGATTCTTTTAATCGACTGTTGTTACTTATTAGGTTTTAAAGACGGATCGAACACAGGTTATTACGCCTCAACAACAAAAGCGGGCAAACACGCGGGTACCAACATATTAGGTCGAGTAATTGTGAAATTTAGAAAAATGATTTCCTTTGAATGTAATTAAGGGCAAATTTTGGAATTTGAAACCAATTTTTAATAATGTTTAAATGTGTACTTCTCTTTAAATAATAAGAAGATAGATACTAATTGTGCAATTTTTGGTGACGAGCATTGTGAGAGTGCCACATCAGCTTTTGCTCTCAAAAATGCTTCTGTGTTAATATGTAGAGGATATAATTTAGTTTGTTTAAAGCAAAAAAATGATATAATTTTTAGTTCTATTTACAATATAATTCAATTTCATTAAAGACATTTTAAAACTTGCACATCGGGCGGGTCCTAACCTAGTATATATAGATAGTAAGGGTTATGATCTTAGAAATCATTTAGGGTTCAACTTGATTAGGAAGTTTGAAATCTTTGATTCCTATTTCAAATTTTGGAATATAGCATAATTAAGCATTAGCTGTAAATATTGCTTGGACGACTTGACATTGATTAGGAAACTGATATCAATCATCGAAGAATTAGCACCGACATTACTTATTTAACTCTCGTTAATAAACGTGGTTTCTTTTTATATCTTATATTTCTTTTTATTATATTATTAAATTAATTCTATATATATAAAGTTAACTTTTCTCTCTTCTCCTTAATCCACCCCATCATCCATCTCCATCTCCATCTCCATCTCATTTTATTATTTAATTAAAAAATTAATTATAGTATTTTATCGTTTAGTTTTAAAATTTAAACATAGAGTAAAAAACCTCTATAAATTAATAATATTGGGACCATGAAAATCTATTAATTTATCGAGAAATTAATTTATAGAAAGATTTTCCTAATTTAGAAAGTTTTTTCAAAAAAGTATTTAAAAATAAAATTTAATCATGATAAATATTTTTTATATAATAAATTACAAAGGAAATAATAATTACTATTTCTTGAAAGAGAATGCTAACAATTTTTGATACATTACAATATTAGAAATAAACTCGAACAAAAACTAATGTGTCTATATATACATCTATTTTGAAAATTTTACCTAATTATTATCCTATTATTCTATCAAAATGTGTCTAAAATTACACTGGTTCTAACTTGGGACCAGAGAAAATTATTAATTTATAGAGATTGTTAATTTATCGAGTATTAATATATAGAGGTTTTACTTTATGTAGATATGTTTTTCATAAAGGAATATGAATGGTGTTTTCTTATAATTTATATTATAAAACTAAAAACGATAATTGAATAAAAATTAAAAACATACTTATTATCGATTATACTAGCTAATATATATTTAATAGATTAAAGTTTTTAGATGAATGTTTTATAATGATATATATATATATATATATATATATATATCAATTAAAAGTAATATGACACAAATATATATATATCAATTAAAAGTAATATGACACAAAATTGATTATATTTACACAAAGTAAACTTAAATTATAATGAAATTTAACGGGAATAGAATTAAAAGTAAGAAAACGTATAAGATAGGTTGAGACAAAACATGAATTCTCATTTTAAAAAAACGTATAAAAATGTTATTATAAAAATAATTACTATTAAAGTTTCCAATATAAATTTTATCAATTATTTTTTTCCAATACAGTATATATGGTAAACCAATAAGCAAAGTAAAAAATTACCAATATTTCATAAAAATTAAAAATTAAAAATATATTCTTATGAACATTGTGACTTAAATTTACGAAAAAATAACAATATTTCACAAAAATATTTGTTTTTTAATTTCCAGAGTTCCCTTTTTACACTTTATAGGAAAAACAAATTACCAAAAAATCCCATTGCCACGTCAGATATTCTGGCGCGTGTCTCCAATAACTGAGCCATAACTTACGTTACGGCTGACTTATTTTATGTTACGGCTGAGTTATGAAAAACAGCTGAGTTTCGGGGCAACGACTGACTTACGAACATAACTCAGCCAACAGTTACGACTGACTTATAAAAATCTTATTTAGTTATGAGCAAACGGCTGCCTTACGCGCATAATTCAGCCGCGGTTATTTTTCGATGATTGAGTTATCAAAAATTTGGCTGAGTTATGTCTTCGACACGGCTGAGTTGTGTCTGGTAATTGGGCAAAGAAACAGAAATATGTATTTAATGCCGACGATAGAGATTGTAGAGTTGTGCATAGCCCTGGGCAATCGGGTACCCAATCGGGTATCAGGTAGACCCAATCGGATATCGGTAATTTGGTATTAGACATATAGATACCATTTGGTATATTACAATAAATTCGGTTCGGTTTGGTTAGTAACTGGTCGGGTTCGGGTCGGTTAGAGTATACCGAAATATTTTCGGGTTATAATCGGTTCGGTTTTTCCTGTAATCAAAGTATTAAAAACCGATTCAAACCAAAAATAAACGACTAATAACCAAAAAAAAAAACAAAATAACCAATAAGTAGCATAACATTAACCATAAACAACAACTTAATAACCAACAAATAGCATAGCATTAACCAAAATAACAACTTAATAACCAAAGTTGAACCATAAGTTTAACATAGTTTGAAACAGAACAAAAGATTGATCAAGTAGCCGATCAAAAAACTGGGAAGTGGTAACAATGAAGAAGCATCCATGATGAAAAAAGAACACTGCTACTCCATGTCCCTGTCACATAACAAGATGGATCATTCAGCAAAGTAAACACAAAGAGCGTTATAAACTTATACACATAAAGACATATGAAGTTCCGATTTACCTTAACTATTGCCGCAATCCATGACTTAAAAAAAAACACCACACAAGAAGACCAATACAAAGATACCTTCAAAACATCAAACACCAGAGCTACAATTAACATTGTAACAAATATCAAATCAGAGGATATCAAATCAGAGGAGATTATATACCTTTTCTTTGATGAGAATAACTAAGGTGAAAGATTAGTTGCATCTCCAATACCAAACTCTACAAAACAGTTTAAAAATTAAGTTACAAACAGAATTATAACTCACGCCTTACTACTTCATCTGTATTGTTAGCAACCATCTCCTTATACGCCATATCCATTCTCTGATAACCTAGATCATCAACCAAATCCATCTTCTTAGGAATCTCAGGTGATTGATGTTGTTTAGTCTTTGGAACCAGACCCAGCTTCTCAGCAGCATACTCTTTATACACTAAGTCAAGAACATAGAAGACATAATCACCCATAGCCTTGAAGTCAACAGAATCTTCACCATAAAGCTTCTCAAAACACATCTTGGCAAACTTTAAGTTCTTCGTTGGATCAAACACAGTTGCAATGATCAGCATCTTGTTGATATTATTCATTCCATCCCAATACTTCAGAAACTTCTTCAACATGTCAGCAGCTTTGTTCTTCAAGCCATCATCTCTGCTGTTAGTCAGAAATGAGAGGTTCCTCTCTATTGTAACAATTTCACCATAGCATTTGTGCGCATTCAAGCTGGTGGAAGCAGAAACAATCAAAGTTGAGTTGTAGAAAATCACCAGAAACTTTACCAACCTGTGACAGCAAAAAAATGAGTGTATGCAAGTATAAACATGTCAATACAATTTTTTTTTGTGGAAGTATAAACAGGTCAGTAGGTTACCTTTCAATGGCATGCCAGTCAGTTGATCAGGAGGTCCTTCACGTGTGTTCCCATTATCCATTTCTTGGAAGTAGTCATGGTACAACCTGTCTTCTATTAGCATTTTGTCAAAAGCAACTCTGTACTTCAGGGCATTTGTCAACATTGTGTATGTAGAACTCCATCTGGTTTTCACATTCAATGTGAGACTTATTCTTTTCAGCTTCCCTAAATTAACTCTCAGCTCAAATGACTTCTGCTTAACATGAGATGACCTAACATAGGATACACCATTGCGTATAGCCTCCAAATTCTTTGATAAGTCATGCAACCCATCCCTCACAATCAAGTTGATGATGTGAGCAATGCATCTGATATGCATGTAGTCTCCATCTAACACAAATGCATCATTGCTGACCAACCTAAACTCCCTTTGAAACTTCTTCAGAGCCAAAGTATTGGTTGTTGCATTGTCTGCAGTGACACAAAACACCTTCTTAATCTCCCACTCAGCCAGACAGTCTAGTAGAGTACTAGCAATTGGTTATGCTTTGTGATATGAGACATACTTGAAGCCAATGATTAGTTTTTTGAGCATCCAAAATGCGTCAATGAAGTGAGCTGTGATCACCATGTAGCTTGCACATGTTTTATATAAAATAAAGAGCAAATAACAATCAGATATGATACTACAATAACATAATTAAATCAAATCAAATGAGAAAGAAACATACTTGTATTTGGAGCAACCCATATATCTGTAGTTAGAGACACCCTTTGCTTGTTTGAGTTAATCCATTTCTTCAGCAAAGCTTTCTTCTTCACATACAGCTGCACTATGTCTCTGCTTGGTGTTCTCCTTGAGTGAGGCCGGTAGAGGTTGACTCGAGAAGAGAAATGTCTCCAGGCCACACTCTCCACAAAAGACAGTGGCAACTCCCCTAACACCAGCATCTCATTTGTTGCCTCTCTGTACATAGGTTCACTTATACTTGCAGCTTGCTTTGATCCATTTCCTTTGATCACTTGCTGAGACTTGTTTGCCATATACGTTTGGTATTCTTTGCAGGTTGCCAAATGCTTGGTCAAATTAGAAGTCCCCGACTTAGACTTGCAGTGTATGACTTCTTGCATTAGTGGCAGAAACATTTGTTTATGTCTTCTTTATTCCTTGTGAAGTGATCCCACACAGGAGATCTTGGAATGATGACTTTGAGCTCTTTAGATGCCTTTCCTTTAGTTGTACTTGATTCAGGGGCATCCTTCCTTTTCCCTGATTCAGGAGTTCCAAGAACTTCTGTACTTTCAGCAGCTTGTTGTCCATTGTCATTGTCATGCTCTTCATCATGAATCATCTGTTCTTCAAAGCCGTCTTCATTTGGAAGCATGAAGAACCCATCTGAAGACACACATACAAGAAGCAAATAAGTAACTAAGAAGCAAGTGCAAAACTAATAACACAAATCTAACAACTAAGATCATATCAACTAAAATTAACAAATAATCGAATTCACCTATCAATTATCAACTAAAAGCTTTTAAATCTACTATCTTGATACTAAAAGCTAAGAACAATCTTGCACATAATCGAATTACAGAAAGTATAAGATAATTACAGAAAGTATAAGAAGCTATTAGTGATTAGGATCAGTTAGCTACGAACCTATGATTGAATTGCACACTGCAAAGATTAGAGAAGGAGGAGACGATGGAGAATACAAATCGAAAATTGGATATGGTTCTTTGAGAGAACTTCTCTCCATGGGGAATAATGGGTTTATATAGGGCTTCCATGGAAAAATTGAATCAAAAAGGTAGTAGATGCCTAGATGGTACTTGATTGAACTACATAAAGCATGCTTAATCGAGTGAAGAAGATGAAGCAAAAAGCAAAATCGGCGAGCTTTGTATTTGGTTCAGTCTTGAGAACAGGAGAATTTGCCAACTCATGGGAAGAAGAGAACTCGTGGGTGAAAAAACCTAAAAGGCCTTATGCTTAGAGGATCGGTGCAAACGGAGGCCCAAAGTAACGTATGGTAAAACCCGGCCCGAACCGATGTTCATTTTACTTTGAGCTCGAGGCCCAATCGGTGATTTTCATAGATCCAAAGTAGAACCGATACCACCCTAACCGGGTGCCAACCGGAGCGGTTCTTCGGTACCCATAATTTTTTCCCAGGGCTAGTTGTGCAGCTAGATGTGGAAAAAACGCACGAGAAGCTTGTGAAATTAGTTCTTGATGACTACGAATTGCATGAGTTGAGCCATAAAGTAACGATGAGCTACATGCTCTCGTACAAGGCTATGAAACATATGTCGCATGATACTCCCCCATTATATGTCTCGAATGATTGACAGTTGTAATGTTATCTAAAGACGTCAAAATTATCTCCCCAAGTTAACGAGATACAAGGCACACCTCACCTTCCTTACGTGGACTGATTTCACACTTAATGGTCCAACGGCCTTATTCTCATTAATTCTTGCGAATTGTTTCTTGTTTTAGAGTTATTAAGACGTGCAGCTGAACCTATATAAGCTCATTATATTGTTCATTTGTAATTACCCTTGATCAATTTAAAGTATTAGAAAGTTTTCTTCTTGTCAAAGTTTGAGTATTTGTCAATCTTGTTCTATAGTTCTTTGTGAGTGAGTTACTTAGTGCTTTAGAAACCTGCGGATTAAGTTGGTTGAGTGATTCAACATCCTTCATTTGTACATTGATCGAGTGAGTCGATTATCCCATTGATTGAGCGAGTCAATCACATTATCTATCCCCTGTACCACCCCTTGATTCACGAGAGAGTGCTTCTAGCCAGCTCGTGAATTCCACCTTCCACAACCTAAGTTTGGAATATCTTGAGCTTCAAGTGATCTAAAGTTTGGAGTGATTCCAATCTTGTATCACAGCCGTAACTTATAAAGTCAAATTAGATTTATTTAATGCTAACTCAGCCCCATAAGGTTATTGATAACTCAACCTAATAATTTTATTGATAACTCAGCCCAATAAGGTTATTGATAACTCAGCCGCCGTAAGTGCTAACTCAGCCTTAACCCTAATGTACGCGACCTTTTTTCTTCTTCTCGTGTATGATAACTCAGCCGTAACTTCTCCACATACCGCAAAAACCTAAGTTAACCATTGCAACCTTTCATCTTCTTCCTTTCTCTCTTTCCTTTGTTTCCTTTATAAATCGGTGTTCTTTGGCCATAAATCTGTGTGATCCTTTCTGGATCTTTTCGGGATGCTCTTCCCGTTCTAACCCTGGTGTGGGGTTATTTGATGATTTGATTGAAAAAACCACACCTATGTGGTTCAAGTTTCATCACTTCCTCTTTCATGCGATCAGACCCATACTTCATCAGAACTCGCACCACGAGTGGCCGACTTATCGCTTGATTCCTGCCCACTTCAAGATACGATGGTTTTTCCTCCACCTGGTAAGCACCAAATTTTTTACATTTTCAATCATATTGTTCTATTCTCTTCACCATACTTTTTTCTTATATGTAGTGCCAATACAACTGGGATCTAAGGCAAGCGTTAATTGTTTGGAAGCATTTAATTTGGATGCTAGATCATCTTTTCATTGGCAGATGCGTGTGCTGAGGAGGATATGGACGAGAGGTGCTGAAAAGCCCGAGTGGATCAATAGAATGGTTTGGTTAAATTTGGTCGATATGTTTAACGAATTTGGTCCAGACGATCTCGGCTGGGGATATTGAATTCCAACAATTCTTTTCTTTTGAATTTTTTTTGAGAAATGTTTCCTATATATTCTTAATTTCTTTGCTTTTGAATGTTGTTTTTTCTTTGTGAACTTCTTTTTGAACATATTGGTAATCCCAAACAACTATGAACATCTTTTATTTTGAATGTTGTTTCCTCATTTCATCCTTTTACATTTTAGCAATTATCCAATCCTCATATAACCTGCTAAACAATGAGAATAACTCATTTGTTACATTCGATTAAAACATAACTCAAGTCATAACTTTCGTATAACTCAGCCGTAATGTGGTGTATAGCTCAGCCATAACATGCGTATAACTCAGCCATAACAGGCGTTGAACTCAGCCGTAATGTGGCAGATAACCCAGCCGTAATGTAAAAGATAACTCAGCCATAATATAAAATATAACTCAGCCATAACATAGAATAAGTCAGCCAAACCTCAAATAAATTTCTCAACCTTCAAATATGCATTATGTCAATATGTTGTTATAATCAAGTTATAAAATCACATAAATACTATGTTTAAATATGATACAATTATTTTACCATATTATTCATCAATAATTTAGACATTGTTGAATACTTTTCAAAAACTATATAACATAGCGGTATACTCCTATACCCTAAACTAGTTTCTAGTCCTAAACAACACTATATAATTTCAATTGGATGTAATTGTGGTATTTTGTTTTCAAAATTAAAAATCTTAACATGCATATTTGCTGCAAATATATATAAATATATATAATATGTTATATCCCTAATATAAATATATAATTGATAATTATAATTTAACTCATAACTTAGCCGTAACTTTTTGTGTAACTCACCTATAATACTGTAACTCAGCCGTTACATAATCATAACTCAGCCAAACCCATTTTCATTAAACATGACAAAGAACTCTGAAAATTGCTGGTTAAACAACACAAATTACAATATAATCAGTCTAAACATAATGAAACATGATGCAAACAACAATTACATTCTCTCGCATAGCCATACAATTGCGATTCCTATTACAGAGAGTAGACAAATTGTCTTAAAAGCTGTCTTAGCCATATCATCCTCAATCTTCTTAATCAGTTTTTCCTGAAGCTTCTTACCCAGTTCTTCCTCAAGCTTGTCAAACATTTCTTTTATGGAGATCTAAATTTTGAGTAACATTATGCCTTAAGTTAGTCACATCTTCTTCTATTCTCTTTACCTTTGCGTCGACCATCTTAATTTGAAGAAATGCGACTCATTCGGCCTCTACTTAACAAAACAAAATCACATCGATACCTATATGCTAACAATAAACAATTAGGGTTTTCCTTTGTCTTCGATATATATGTGATGATATCGTTACCACACCAACTTTCCCAATTCGTCGAAAGATCTGGAGGGTAAGCACCATGTGTTGAACGATATGAACTCGACGAGTAGTCGCTCATTATTAAAAATTGAGAACTAGAACCCAAAAGTCAAAGAGAAACCCAGAAATCGCAGGCAAACCCAGAAATCGATAAGAACCCTAAATCCCCAATCTGATTTCTCGATTATGTGTTTAAGGAAGACGAAAGAAGGAAACATCGTTTGGATTAAACTCGGCCAACCCACGAATATAATTTGCGATAAGTCAGCCAAACCTCAAAATCTGTCTATGACTTAATTCGGCCAAACCTCGAATTTGAATATCAAAAACATAACTTAGTCGTAACATATAAATAACTCAGCCGTAACGTTATTATATAATTCAGCCAAGTTCCTCAACTATTACGTTTTGAACGACCTTGGAGAAACATCTCCTTTTGAAAGAAAACATCCTGGAATTTTGTGGACGAGTTGTGGGAGGGACTTCTGCGTTCAGCATTGCTAGAATCATCCACGCAAATGGCTTAACAGAGTGCATGATTCTAGTTTCACTTTCATGTGTTACGTGTCCCACAATGCTATCATAGACATCAATATGGCTCCTAATCAGGTCGACTTCTTGATATGTTTTACTGGCTTGATTGGTAATGGCTCGCTATCAAGATTGTTTTGGCCACTTAGGCCTACAATACCTCCTAGGGCTACACCAGTGGCGACAAAGCTAATGATGCCTTTCATCTTTTTGACTTCATGATCAAGATATTGGAACTTTTAAGACAGCTTCACATCTAGTCTAACTTCAAAGGTGTCAAACCTTGAGTTCATTTTAAGCACAATATCCACGAGTAATCTAACTGGCACATTTTCACCAGCATTGTCCTCCTTACTAACAGCCTGCAAAACATACACAAAAACTGATAATCAATCTTTACAAACGTTACCTAAAGCAATA